TTAACAATGTACTACTAATGTATGTTTTAAAATGCGTAAAATTAACGGCATGTTAATATGTTCCTTATATACAATGTGAACTGTTATTTTAAAAAGTTAAGAAATACTGTGATATGGTTAAAAGTGAAAGTAATGCCAAAAAATTTTAACTTATTCGTTTGACTGTAAAAAGAGCAAATTATTGTGAATATGTGTTAAAGGTTGAATGAATGTAGTTAGGCTCCCTGACGCTACACTTCAGAGTTAGCCACTTTTCAGAATAGTACCTCAGGGTTTAGAGACGAATATAAGGTGTGTTCTGGGGTCTTGTTATGTTGAATTTTAACACGTTAGTGTTTTGATTGCAGGCGGTAGTGTTGAACACTTGTACATAAACACGCACGTGTTTGGTGTTTTTCCTTTACAACACATGTCAGAGAGCACGGGAGAGATAATTAAATAACGTCATGAATGAAATAAGAATGTTAAAGAGAAATATAAAATATTCATGTTACTTGCCATTTCATTGTGTAACATTTCATTAAACTAGTTTTCCTTCCAGATCTCTGGAAGGAACCAGATTTCAACTAAGAAACTCCTGTTTAGATGCAGTACAGATGAAAAAATCTTGTCCATGGAGCTGATAATGTAAAAACGATTTTTTTTTAAATTTCTAGTTTCTAGTGAGAAATGTTTGTAAAAGATTGGCCTCGCGTTAGATTCTAGAGCTAAAAGTTTTCAACAAGGTCGTTTTAGACCTCAGTTTCAAACTAATTAACTCTGGCGGGAAGTATGTAAGGATCTTAAGTTTTACTAACGTTTATTTTATTTTAAATCTTTACTATCACTTCTTATTTTCTACTTCCGGCCAGAATTAAAAGCTTTTAACTTATTTATGCAAATTTGTCTGGCGAACGCCAAGTACTTAAGTTGTGGCTTTTTGCCAAGCGAGAGAGAGGAAGGAGTTAGTCGAAGCAGGCCGCTTACCTTAGAAGTTTTACACTCGGTTTGCCTTCCAGGCCAGAGGTTTAATCCTCTTGATAATTTTAAACGTATTGTAGTGTTTACAGTTCTCTGTACTACATACGGCTTCCTGTTAATATACGGCCAATCTTGGAGTTAGGCACTTGTTTATTAATCCAAAGTTAATTTAGTTAGAGTTTTAGTTAATATTTTTATATTCTTACGTTCAGACCACAAGTGGTTGGTCTCTGTATTCCGAAGTTCCGGAAAGCTCTGTAAAGATAGAAAAATAAAGGGTTTCGTATACCCTTCCTGTGTGTATTGACTACTTCACAATTTATTGAACATAGCTTTAGTAAACTCCCTGTTTCGATTCAGGACAGTTCATATTTCCAAGGCAAGTAAAGAGGAATACCAGTCCTGATAAGTTCATTGACAACAATGCTCGTTTCAGCACTCTTTGGGCACACACATAGAATTAAAACGATAAGTGCCATCTTCACAAAATTTTACTTGTGTACTCCTCTAGGCCTAATTAGACTGCCTGCCTTTCTTTTTATCAAAACTCCGACTTTAAAAGGTAGCGTGCCCGAAAGGGTTAAAAAAATAACTCAAAGGTTTCAGATTTTAAATTACATCCAAAAGGGTGTTTTTTTAACATTTTGTTTGTTACATTATTAAATATCACGTTCTTCGCACTTAAACTATAAAATTCTGTTCAACGGCAATATCGCAAAATAGTTTTAAAATGCGCATATCTTTTAGAATTTCCGATACAGAGACTCACGCCCTGGAGATAAAATGTTTTTTTTTTTCTGTATAACGTTTCCATTACTCGCTTTGAAATCCTTGAGTTTTTTAATCAAAAATTCGTTTAAGTTTTACAAAATAGGAAATCGATAATAAAACAAATTCAAAATTTCAAATTTGGGCTTCCACGTGCCCATATTCGTAGGAGGATTAAGTCATTCAAAATTTGATGGTTCTATGTACTGTTGACAAAAATTCTATGTACTGTTGTTTTATCACAATGCGAAAAATATACATGCATTTATGCAGATTTTTTATTATTTAACTTCTTCAAATACAATGCAGGACTCTAACATTGGGTGGCAACAGTTTGAAAAGGGAAACGGACATTTATAGTGAACCGACGCAAAATCGCAAAACGGAAACAATAGTCCTTCAGAGACAAAACCCCTTTAGACTAAAATTTATTTCATAGACTTTCTCACTAAATAAGAGAATTGCCGCTAATGCGACCAACAGCCTTAAGTAGTTATTATCTAAATATATACATACAATAGTTTTAATGACTTTAATTAGTGTTATTTCATAAAGATATTTTAAACAGGCATTTAAATAAGCGAGCAGCAGCAATACTGTTGGAAATAAAACATTTTTATATCCACCATGCCAGCCTGTTGCCATTCCATAAAATGTAAGATATTTATCTTTAAATCACTAAGCAAACTAAGGAGGTTAAAATAGAATGAAGGAGAGTTCACAGTGTCTTCCACTATCTAAAAATGAAGCCTACTTAACAAGCGGCGGCCATGTTTATGAACTTAAAACATTGCGTTATGGCAATGAAACGTACTTGTTTCTACGATGTTCCATGCACGTATTTGCCAGTAAAAAAATATTACATTTGTAATGAAATGCCTCGCTATTGTTAACTTTTTGTTTTAAAGTAATAAAGATAATATCTATCATTTATTATGTAAAGGAAACTTAAGTCCTTTTTCTTTACATATGAGGAAAAAAACACATGGCATCATGATATTTTTCATGTAATTCAGCATGTTTACTAAATTACATAAAAAACATTAATGCTTTAAAAGTAATCTCAGGAATCATTTTAGAAATTCTGTTCGTACATCAATATGCCACACCAAGATCCCATACCCTATAAATTTAAAAAGACGTTTCAACGACAACTCTCCTTGCCCGAGTCACAATTGCTAGAGAATGGCCGCTCAGGGTTTTTGAACCCTCTCTCCTTCTCTTCTAACCTTCTTGGAACAAACTAGGCCATTAAAAGGCAACGTGTTGCCACAGCCTGAAATTAAAAACCTTTATCATTCACGTGCCAGAGTGTTGCCATCCAGTAGCCGTAGGATATTTAGCTTTCAAATTTAATCTGTATGTTACTGAGTATCAAACCAAGAAATTTAATAGCAATGAAGGTAGTTTTTAAGAATATTTTTTTACTATTAATCTGATTTAAACTAAGATGCATTTAAATCATGGAATGTCTAATTAGAAGTATTGAATTTTTTTTTTTTTTTTTTTTTGGGGGGGGGGGGTATTACAGTAGCTGGATTCATTAAAATTATTATATATTTTTTCATTTTTATGATTACTATTTTAGGCGACTGGCTGAGCAAGCAGCTAATATGTACATATTAATACTATATATATGTACATATAATACTAATATGTACATATTAACAATTAGCAGAGGATGAAAGAGAGAATATTTTAGATTAAAAAGTAGTTTATTTAGCTTAATTTTGAAAATGAAGTATAAAAAACGGCATTATTTATCAAAGGACTCATTAAATTTTGCATTTGTGAGCTAAATGGGTCAAACATCTGTATATATATAAAAACGGCATTATTTATGGAATGACTCATTATATTTTGCATTTGAAAACTAAATGAGTCAAACATCTTTATATATTTAAGCGGCTAAAGTGTGTGTCGCCGATAGTTTATTGTTGCCAATCGGAAAAATGAGCACGCAAATTAACGTTTCCGCAGTTTTTAATTAATATCTTGGCCGATTAAAGTTGTACGAAGATGAGAACGGTATTCGGAGAATTTTTTGGAATCCGAGGATACGCGTCCCGAATTTCAACTCGGCACCGTTCCGTAGATATTGGAGACAAAAGAATTTGGCACGTAGCCAAATCCCTGTTATGGGAAAAACCCAAGAAAGAAAGTGGAAAATGTAGTAAAACGTAGGGGAAATTAGTTTTTAATTAATATCCCGGCTAATTGAAGTCCCAAGAAGACGCGAATGGTCAAAAGGGCGTGCCACGGACCTGCGGAATCCAACGGTGTGCTTCGCTAAGCCCGAAAGCCAGCTGTTTCGGAGGAGATGATGTTACTTCTCCCCATATATATATATGCGGCTTAAGTGTCTGTTTGTCGCCGATAGTTTATTGGTTGCTTGCGTAACTGTACTAGCCAATGGGGTGAAGTTGCCACGGCACAGGGTTGCCGTTTCAATTGAGACGTAGACAATTTCCTGTAAAACTTGCCTTTGCTATGACCATCCAGAAGTCTCAGGGCCAAACGCTTAAGCATGTTGGCATTTTTTTACCTGCATTTGGACACGGTCGACTTTATGTTGCCTGTTCAAGAGTTCATGAAAGAACGGACGTAAAATTAAAAATAATGGATGGTCCTCTGCAAGGCGAGCTTAAAAATGATGGAAAGATCTACTCAAGAAATGTTGTGTGTACAAAGAGATCTTTGACATGTGAATTATTATTTCATTATTTAAATCACCTTAATTGATTGAGCTAGCGGTGTGCTCTTAAGAAATTGGTGGTTTCCTTCATTGCACTCTACTTTAAGCAATTAAGCAAGTAGAAGGGGGGAAACCCCTTGGGGCAGTAAGCAAATGGGCGTCCTCGCCGCCTGCTCTGGGTAATTTAGTTTAAATTAGCAGACACCTTTGCACAAATTATTTTAATTACAATTTATAATATCTAGAACAGCGGTCATTTTGTATGACCGCCAGGCTTTCTAGTTGGTAATATTGTGGTACTAGAATTCAGAGATCGAAGTCTTGGTAACAAATTATAATTAGAAAGTTATAGTTTCATCTTATTGGGAAGCATACACTAAATCAAGACTCTAGAAGAATAAAGCAAATTATCGCTATGTCTTTTTAATCAAACAGAGACAGTAAGAAGGGTGTAAAAGACCCTTCTACTAAGAATTCAATATAGTTGAATAGAAGACAGTTCTTGTGCTTAAAAATCAGCCAGCATGTATGACGCAACTCAAAAATAAAGAATTTAGCACTTCTTAACAAGATTCTTTAACTTTTATTCTTTCCATTTTAGGGTTGTTGACGCCATGTTATGGCGAAGGCCCTGACCGCCCCTATACACCGAATCATCCCGAACATGCCTCTGCAGAGATCCTGAATCCCATGATCAACGATACCTATAGAATATTTAAGACTCTGGTCGAAGAAGTCAAGAGTGTTTTCGTGGACGAGTATATCCATCTAGGAATGGATGAAGTGTACTACGCTTGCTGGTAAAAATATTTTGGGGTATAACTTGAAGAAGTTTACTTTCGTATCAAAATTTTAATTATAATTAACTGCGTTGGTCTTTTTTCTAGGAGATCTAGCCCCGAAATTAGGGAATTCATGGATCAAAATAATTACACAGATTACAACCAAGTCGAGCAACATTACGTGAGGAAAACTTTGCAGAATGTCAAAGACACTGGCTACAAGTACATAATTTGGCAGGATCCCATCGATAACGATGTTCAAGTAAGAATTGTTTTAGATTCAATACATCCTAATTTTCTACCATTTGTTTTTAAAATGTTAGATTATCGTTTGAGGAAAGAAAGACTGTCTGGCGAAACAAGATAATAATATTTATTCTCTGATAGTAAAGATAATATACCTGCTGGTAAAAAATGATACGATATTTCAATGAACATTTTACAAATAGATATGATAATACCAGAATAAAATATTTAAAAGCGATCTCCATACAAATCATTGTTAACGTATTTTTAATATCTACAATCGAATATCTGAAATTGTTGTATTTGCTTAGAATGTAGCTTTAGCGAATAAAAATATAATGGCTTAAAGTTAGTTTAGTTTTCTATTGGCTTAAAGATTTAGTTAAGGAGAGTATTTTTTAAAATCAGTTTCTCGTGTAGCCCTAAGTTCTTAAAAACCTTCTATTACTTCCTTGTACGAAGTAAAAGAAGTATTGCGGTCGCGAAAAATTTCGAGCGTCATATTTAAACAAAAATATCCATTTTGACCGCTCTTAAATTCATTTCGAAGATGTTTATGCATGACATTTGTGATTCTAAAATGGATTCAGAAATATTTTTGTGACTTCCGTACGTACGTACGTACGTATGTATCTCGCATAACTTAAAAGCGAGTAGCCTCAGAACGTTGAAATTTTATATACGGGGCTGCTATAACATGTAGTTGTGCATATCCCCTTTTTGGTTGCAATCAGCCTCACCAAACATGTATAAATATATATATATAGATAGAATTTATGAACTGAAATTCATTGAAATCGAAATAAATTTCCTAAGACTTGCGCAATAACTGCAAAATAAGATAATAATAGTTTATTTACTAAAGAAATATTGATTATATTATCTCTTAATATAAATTTAGTAGAATGTATCTATCAAATGAAGTACCCAGATGTATAAAAATTTAATCTCTAAAGTATTTTTCAAGAAGCTGAATTTTAAATCATGAAAAATAGAAATTCAAAATTTGTTCTGGAAAATAAAAATTAAGTAAATTATCGTCAAGAGGAAAGAAACCATTCGTTATTAATTATTAATTCGAATTTTCGCATTTATTAAATTGTTCATTGAACGGGGGTTTGTTTCCCTTGAAGTCAGCCATTTCGATCAATGACGATATTTCTTGATTTATTAATTTCATATTAAAAATTTTAATTTCTATTTTTCATGATTTAAGTTCAAGTTCCTTTAGAAATATTTTCGAAATTAAATTTTCATACATCTGGGTTACTCCATTTAGATACATTCTACTAAATTTATATTAGAAGATAATATAATCAATATTTATTTCACTCTTTTTAGATAATTCTACTAAAATTAATATTAGGAGATAATATAATCAATATTTCTTTAGTAAATAAATTATTATTAATTCACTTTGCAGCTATTTTACGCAAGTAGTAGAATAACTTGAATTCGCACCAAGTGTTATATATATATATATATACCACTCTCTAACACGGCTCGGTTATATGTTGACAAATTGTGGATTTTATGCCGAAATTGTGGATTTTATGCTGAATAAGACCAGAAGTTAAATTTTTCGATTTTGTGCACCGAAAATTACGTCTTCTTATCCACTGACCGAATTGTTTGATTTTGCTTAGAAACTCAAGTTTTAATTGTAAAAACTGTTTTATTAACTGTTTTTAATTGCTTTAATACGTTTTATATTTTTCTTATTTCTGTATGTTACAATTTTTAATGAAGGTATTTTGAGTTTTTATGTATTTTTACTTTGCCGCGAAGTGAGAACTGAATTAATTGAATGAGAAATATCTCTCTAATGAAACTTGAGGAAAAGTTTAAATGAAATGCAGCAAAAAGTGTGCACAGGTTGGATAGCCGTACAAAGATAATAAATACATCATATATAAGTACTTAGTATAGAGTCTTTAAATACTATCGCCTTTCTACCTCATTCGAATACCATGTCAGCTAGGAAATTTATATTCTGGCCGAAAAGTGGGAAATGAGAGGGAGAGGAAAGCAAATTAACATACACAGGTTAAAGAAACTAAATGCAACCTTACAAACTTTATAAAGTTTAAAATTTTTTTCACTACTGTAAACTGTACCCAATCTTTAATAAACGTAAAGCGACTTATCAGCATATCTAAGTAAAACAGAAACTTCAGAATGCTGTAAAAGACCCTTTATTTTAAACTAAAATGGATGAAAGGAAGGCATACCTGTGTTTACAAGTTTTCTAACATTAATGGCGAGAAACATAAAGCCAAAATTCAAATGTAAAGCTAAATTTTAATATCTAATAAACAAAGGCTAACACAGCAATTTAATCGCGAAGTTAGCTCGGATTTCACTGACATGAAGTTAACTATAGGCAGGAAGTAATGCAACGCAGAAAACAGGAGTTCTTATCTAAGAAAGCAAACCTAGTAACGTGGCCTTTAAGAGGCATGAATACGCTCTGACTGAAGGAACTCAAACCCTCACCTATATATACACAAACTAATTTGCATTCTGGCAAGAAAACATATCAGGACTTGTATGCCTCTTGATCTGCTTTGGGAACATGACGTGTCCTGAATGGGAACAGGGAGCTTACTCCAGCTGTGTTCAAATATGTGTGGAATGGACAACACAAGTAGGAACGTTTAACTTTACCCTTTATTGTCCACTAAATTACAGGTGCTCCCGCACTTCGGATACAAAGTCTGAACCACTTGTTGTCTGAACGTAAAAATATAAAAACTATTTAACTAACTAAAAATAAGAGTTAACTTCGAGTGCTTTACACAATTGACTAACGCTAAGGCTGGCCTTTTAAATTATTACATATGTAGTACGCAAACTGCCGAAACTACAATACGTTTTAAATATCAAGAGGGCTAAACCTCTGGCCTTAACCCTTTCAGGGGCGCAATGTTATGATTTTTTAAAAGTTATGAAAAAGTAAGCATAATGACTGCAATGGTCCTATAGACACATAAATGAGTTAAAAAAAATTTTTTTTTTCATCCCCCTTTATAGAAAGGGACCGGTTTCGCCTTGAAACCAGCCGCCGTCTAGAGCACTTAAGACTAAACATTTGCTATTTATCTTTATTTTTTGCTGAAAAGTATCTAAACGTAACCCAATCGCAGCTTTACTAGTAAATTACTGAACAACTAATAAAGTAAGTAATATTGCATAAACACGCATTTTTAATTATAAATAAAAATTAAAAAGGAAACAAAAAAGTATGAGACAAAAAGTAACTAATAATGCACTAAATTATTGCATAAACATAATATTTAAAAAAATTATGTTAAACTAAATTATATGTAAAATAAAATAAATTAAGATGCATGCAATTATTTTACTCTGAACTAGAGAAAAGCGACCGCTAAGAGAAGCATAAAAAAAACGCAACTACGAGTGTTTTTCAGAGTGCTCTGTGTCTCTCTAAAAAATAAGAAATGTTTTCCCTCTCTCAAACGCTTCATAAATCCTCATCTTTGAAGCCACTCAAACGAAGATATTGAGCAACTGTTTACAGCAGTGATCCGAAAGCAATAAACATAACTGCAAGAAATCTCGCGACTGCGTCATCTGATCATTTCTTCGATGTCCGAGAGGGGCGGTGGTTTGAAACCGCAATGAAAACATTCCAATTTAAAATGGTTCCTTTTTTTTTTTTTGTGAACTAAGGCTTTTCTTCTCATGATGCTGCTTATAAAAGATATTGTAGAAAATTAAAATTTTTTTGGGTTTTTGCTTTTAAAATGCGTCAAAAAGAGTAGGGTGCAAAAGAAGATATTTTTGAATGATTCGTATCAATGGATGCCCAGAAAGGTTTGCTGCTGTCATCTGTTATCAGCTTTAAGAAGTAATTTAATTTTAGCATCGGTTTTGAGGGGAAAAAAAAAAAATTCTAAATTAAAAAAAAAATGTTGAAAATGCGGTGTCAAGGCGAAACCACCGCCCCTGAAAGGGTTAAAGGCGGACAGCAGCTGATTGGAAACTCGAGTGTAATACAGTGGTAAGGCGGCTCACTTTATCTCTCTATCTAACTCTGTTCATGGTGAAAAGCTACAACTTAAATACTTGGGCGGACAATTTTCATAAACAAATTAAAGCGTTTATTCTGGTCGGAAGTAGAAAATAAGAAAAGACAGTACAGTTTGAAAATAAAGTAAACGTTAGTAACACGTAAGATTCTTACAAACGAAAAGCGAGAAGTAGCAGTAAAGATTGCAAACGTAAAACAACTTGTTAAACAAATTAAATAAATGTCACAACTTCATTAGCTGTAAAAAGTAATAAAATAAACGTTTGTAAAACTTAAGATCCTTACAAAGGAAAGAGAGAAGTAACAGTAAAGATTGTAAACGTAAAACAACTGGTTAAACCAATTAAATAAATCTCACAACTTCATTAGCTGTAAGAAATAATAAAATAAACGTTAGTAAAACTTTTAAGATCCTTACAAACGGAAAGAGAGAAGTAACAGTAAAGATTGCAAACGTAAAATAGCTGGTTAAACAAATTTAAATAAATCTCACAACTTCATTAACTGTAAAAAATATCAAAAGTTAATAAAACGGTTTTAACAACTGACACTTTGCGATTTCCGTTCTGTTATTTCATACCTAAAAAACCAAAATAAGTAATAATTGTATCAAACCGCTTAAATTTTATTTATAAATTCAAATAAATAAATAAAAAAGGACTTTTTTCATGCTTTAATAAAGGTGTAACCTTTCTTATCCGAAATACAGCAACAATTGTTTCAGATACTTTTATGGCTCACATTTGTTTCAGATACATGTACTTTTGTATGGTTCACGTTTGTTTTCAAATACCTTTGAAATTTATTTCCTTAGATCTTGTACTAAATATGCAAACGTAGATTCCAGACTTGTTTCTAACCATTTTTTTTCTCTATATTTTAAGCCTTGTTATAAAAATATCGACAAAATATTCCTTGTAATTTATTAAAAACGTATTAGTTGGAAACTCATATAATAATTC